TTTTCATTAAAAAAATAAAACCTTAAGGGCTCATTCCATGGAAACACATGAAGATGGACCTATTTTACTTATCCATAGCGTAATATGCATACCCTGTCTCTTCCCTGCCTTGTGTACTTCAGTCAAAGCTATGCTTGAAATTGAATGTCTGGATCTTTGATGGGTTCCCAGGAAACTCCCAAAGAGAATGCTGTCTATGCCACAAGTCAGGCCATTCCAAATATTATCCTCCTAAGTTTAGGTGAATTCTGTCAGAAAGACAGACTCACCAAACCAAACTCACAACCATCCAGTCAATGCTGACTCATAGCAACCCTATAGAACAGGGTAGAACTGCCCCCTGGGGGTTCGAGACTGTAATTCACTGCGGAAATAAAATCCTCATCTTTCTATCATGGGACTGCTGGTGGTTTTGAACTGCTGACCTTGCAGTTAGTAGCCCAACGCATAACCACTACACCAGCAGGGCTCCTTCAGAAAGACAGAAGAGTAGTTGTGGTTGTAGGTGAAAGAGAATGTGGGTTGTTTTAGGAGTCAGACTACCAGCAGCTGCACCCACCCCTCTGTCGTCATCAAACTACGGCTCCTGGAGTGCAAGGTGGCCAATGGGCTGAGCAAGAAACCATTGTTCAACCGTCTCCATCCTCAGAGGTCCCCTTGGAAAAGACTTTCACAATACGGCAAGTGCATTATATAATATTTCCTGATAATGAATTAAATCAGAAATATCTTCCATTTCTTTTCCCCAAGTCTTGAAGGAAAAACAACCCAAACTCTCTGCCGCTGACTCATAGTCACCTTCTAAGGGTTTCCAAGACTGTAACTGTTGACGGGAATAGAAAGCCCACTTTCTTCTGAGAAGCTGCTGGTGGTTTTGAACTGCTGACCATGCGATCACAGCCCAATGCATAACCACTACAACACCAAGTATGGTACTTTAAGCTTCTCCACCACCACCACCACCTCCTTTTTTGGGGAAATCACAGGTGTTGGAGGCCTTCAGGCCCTCTTGGGCATCCAGGTTCACATGTATCTTCCAAACACACTTACCCGTATTTTATGTCTCTCTCTGGTGCCAATTCTTAGTGCAAAGGAGGACCCAGGCAACAATGGCCAACAGAGACACTCTTCATAATGCCTGGCGATGTCACACTCAAGACACATCGGACAAAACAGACCGCAGAGACCTGTCCACAGACAAATAAAAGAAAACCAAGGTTCTCAGACGTTCTTGGAGTAACCTCACATCAAAACAGGCATTTACACCTGTGACATCAATTGAATGCTGCACTGTGTCCCTGACGTCGGGGACGAAGCGTGAATAACCAGCTCTCAAAACTCAGTGTATGAAAATTGCCTTCAACAGAGCCAATCAAAATTGTCTTCTTTTGTCAAACAGTGGCAAAGCTGAACCTGAACCCCATACAATTCTGTTAGCATCAACTCATATAATTGTTTTTTCCTGTCAAGAAAAAACATTCATTTTTCTACAATGGAATCTTCACTGTTGCTCCTAGTACATTAATCTAATGTCAATATTTTAAACAGCACTGATACCTTGAAGAGCCGGCTTCTGCTTCCCCACCCCACCC